TTTAAAGGATCGTTTACTCTAGGTTCTAGGGTTATTTTCAGTTAATTTAGGTTAAAATTACGCTCCATAAAAAGTTTCATGGTTTAATCACCATTAAAAATATTATTAAAAAATGTTTTAAAACTAACGACTACAGTTTGATTACACGACGGGCGGCGCAACTCAAAGCGCATGATTGAAGTTGGGCAAAACCACTTTACAGCAAAGGGCTACAGAACGAGGTGTGTTCTTATTTATTAATTTAAAAGCAAAAGGATTGTTATATTATAAACGACATATAGTTTCAGTTATAATATGGATAAATTTGCCCAAAATGAATATCGTTCGGTTAAATAGCATTTAGGTATAAATAAATTGGACTTTTGTGAATAGCCCTCAGTCTTTAACGTGCAAATAAATTGTCAAATACGCAACTTTTTGGGTGGCAGCATGGTGTCGCGGGTGTCATGGCGCCGTTCAAATTTCGTAGCGTTGATGTGTAATTAATTATAACAATTAAATTAGGTATCTGGTAACAAATACGTGTGGGTATAGACGATTTGTTATGTACAGTAAGTACAGTTGTATGCAGTAAAATCCTAGTCTACTATCCCTTTAAACTTTATTTTTCACATTTTATTCAACAGCACCTATACATACCCTTAAAATATGTTAATGAATTTAATTCTTTTCATTATTAATATTTATATACATTTTACTTATTATAAATATATTCCATTTAATAATTCATCTTGTCATTTTTCACTAGCAGTGAAAACAAGTCAAGTGGGCGTTTTTACCCCATGAGCGTTTTTACCCCAGTTTACCCTACATATACTTTAGCAAAAATGAGGCAGTCTACAGTACATCACAGAAGCGAACAGTACTATATCGCACTGTATATAGATAACACACACGAGTGCTTTGTAACTGAGTACGCAGTTATGCGCACGCCTGTAACTGTACCCCTCCCAGACATTATACTGTAGTTATCGCTTCCTAAGCGAAAATTTGCCCGACTTAATCCGCTAAGCAGAGAGCGGGGCTTTTTCGTTCCTTCCCATTTACAAATTTGCAGTTAACACCTCGTCACACTGGAGAATCATGCTTTCGCGTGAACGCTAATAGCGCACTTAAATGCTTTTAACTGCTTTAATCGTAATCACAGTAAACTTCTACTCCAAAACGTCCGCGGCATTCGTGGACGACTACAACACTACAGATATACGGTTGCCCATACCAGAGCCATGTGATTTATAACATAGATTCCACGTCCTGTCACTGCAGCGTGCAGTGATCCGTAACTGAGTATGCACGCGCCCGTAACAGAACCATCTTATCGTGTGACATGAGTTACAGCTCTGTAATACACTCGCCCTGCGAATATCCGCACACAACTAAAACCACACAATCGCTTTGTAAGATTCTCTATGCATGATCAGCTGATTATCGATGGCACGTGAGCATCATATACTCACTACCGAAACTACAACGCATCTCTTGAGTGGCAGCAAAACCTCTTCCAATAAGGTATACTATTATTAGCTCTTGATAACTTCTATAGAACAGAGGGTAGTCAGTCTATAAGTCACAGATTAGGCATTTTCCTTTATCAACCCTTATATATACAGGTTAGACTGTATTACCAGAGTGCTGCTAGTAAGGTCGAGTATGGGGTGAGACAGCATCGATGGGATGACATGTGGCCATGGCACTAATATCTACTCACACGTAATTCATACCGGTCAGCCAACACACGCCACTCCGTGCGCGTAACCCACGGCAACCGCAACATCCTCTGCCACTCTAGCATCCCATGCACACCCTTGCATCATCCGCAGCACGTGAATCATGCAGTTGCCGTGGACACGATAAGGGGGGCTAGGAGAACCATGAATCTTGTGGTTTCCGTGGATGTGATGGGGTGTGAGGACAGCCAGGAATCTTGTGATTTCCGTGGACATTATGGAAGGTGTAGAGCCGAGGATGCTGTTGGTTGTATTGGACGTGAGATGGGTAAGAGGAGCCAGGGCCGCTGTGGTTTCCTTAAACACGACAGGGTATGACGTGAACCCGGAATACTGCAGCTGCCGTGGATCCGACGGGGCATGACAAGAGCCAGGGATGCTGCGTTGCCGTGGATACGACAGCGGGATGACGAGAGCCAGGGATGCTGCGTTGCCGTGGATACGACAGCGGCATGACGAGAGCCAGGGATGCTGCGGGTGCCGTGGATACGATGGCGGGCGAGGAGAGCCAGTGATGCTGTGGTTGCCGTGGACACCGTGGCAGGCTTAGCAGCCAGCCAGCGACGCAATCCGCTGCTGTGCCCACACGCGGCTCAGCCTCTGATCCGAGAACAAATCCCGCGTGCTTAGCCGCGAGGCGCATTCGACCCGCGACGGATCGTGCGTGAGGCTGCAGCCGCCGTCCCCGCCGGCACGATAGCGATAAAGTTTGCATCGCTACATTAGTGAGCTATTCACTTTATGAGAGGGAAAAAACAGTACCAGCCTCGCTCCGGTTGATCGGTGCGCTTCTTACGTGTAACCCTAGCTGCCTGCGGCTTCACTCGTCTGCTTCAGTAATCTTCCACGCGTACTATCGCTCTCTCTCTCTCTCTCTCTCTTTCACTCTCTCTCTCTCTCTGTTTCACGCTCTCTCTCTCTCTCTCTCTCTTTCACGCTCTCTCTCTATCTCTCTCTCTCTTTCGCTCACCCTCTCTTCCCGTCTTTCCCTTCCCCATTCTCTTACTCTTTCTCTCTCTCCATTACTCTCGCTCCCTGTTTCACCCTCTCTCTCTCTCTCTCTCTTACTCTCTTTCTGCCCTCTCTCTCTCACCATCCCTTATCGCTACCTCCCCGCTCAATCAACCTACCCCCCCCCCTCCCGCCTACACGAATGTACGGCGCAAGAATGTTGCACCCATGTCGAGTGCGTAACGGATATGCGAGTCAAGATGCAGAAGACGCTGCACAGCTGCCGCCGGCGCGCTCTATCAACAACCGCCGCAGCATTAGCCAGAGCCCAGGCCGCTGTGGTCTGTAGTGAAAACAACGAGGCTGAGCGGCTCAGCGGCGCGGTATAAATATAGGCCGGGTGTAAGTGTTGCGAGCTATACGATCGCGTTCGCCGCGATTAAAACGAACGCAAATTTAAACGAAGCCTTTTTGTCACCCTCTGTGCTAACATCGTCATCGTTTGGAACCAGTTATCGGACCGAAATCGTTCGAGTCGCCTTGTGGATCGTTGCCACGCTGACCGCAACGCGAAACAACGTGTTCCCTGCCTCACCACGCGATGAAATCATAACACAATCGAAGAAACTTTTGGGGGAACTAACAAATATTCACAGGCTTAAGGGCATAAGACCATGTGCCAGGAGAGAGTAGAATAAGCACTGCTGTAGGAATTACTAATGACACAATATAATGAACTACATGGTATTTCAAATACTAGGCATGAGAAAACATTCTGAGTATCAAATGGCAACACAGGTCAATTACAATTTGCGAGATTCAGTCTGTCCCCGCACGGAAACAAGCTCCCGTCTCCACGGCGACAAGACTCAGTCTCCGCGCAGAAACGAGCTCCCGTCTCCACGGCGACAAGACTCAGTCTCCGCGCAGAAACAAGCTCCCGTCTCCACGGCGACAAGACTCAGTCTCCGCACGGAAACGAGCTCCCGTCTCCACGGCGACAAGACTCAGTCTCCGCGCAGAAACGAGCTCCCGTCTCCACGGCGACAAGATTCAGTCTCCGCACGGAAACGAGCTCGCGTCGCCACTGTGACAATGACTCACTCACCGGCACCATGAACTTCTTGAGCTCGGCGAGGGCGTGGCCGATGCGAGCGTGCGCGTCGCTCGGTGCGGCGTAGGCGTCGACGACGACGTGAGGCTCCAGCTTCAGGTGAGCGTACTTCGGGTCGCTGCTCATCAGCTGCTCGTGCTCCTGACGAGGAAATATACGACGTAGTGGTAATGTAGGAGTAATGTAGTGGTAATGTAGGGGTAATGTAGGGGTAATGCAGGGGTAATGTAGTGGTCATGTAGGGGTATTGTAGTAGTAATGTAGGGGTAATGTAGTAGTAATGTAGTGGTATTGTAGGGGTAATGTAGGCGTATTGTAGTAGTAATGTAGTGGTCATGTAGGGGTAATGTAGGGGTATTGTAGTAGTAATGAAGTGGTAATGTAGTAGTAATGTAGTGGTAATGTACTGTAGTGTAGTGTAAAGTAATGTAGTATTATCTAGAGCTAATAATACCTAGAGTGTACAACGGGAAAACGGGGAAATAGCACTATTTTCTCGTTGTACACTCTAGGTATTAATATTATGTAAAGTAATGTAGTGTAGTGTAGTGTAGTGTGACCTAAAGTAATGTGATGTAATATAAAGTTATGTCACGTGAATTGACGTGATATGATACATGTAACGTAATAACCCCTCCCCCACCACACCACACCTTAGCTGTGTGTACCAACCTTCTGCTTGTCTCGCATAACACCCTTGCCAAGGATGGCCATCTTTGTGAATGTATCCTCCTGCAGCTGCTGCAGTGTCTTTCCTCCTGGTCCAAGCAGTTTGCCGACAAAGTTGTACTGCAAGAGAAGAACACACATGCTGAATACACACATAGAACTCCCTGAGCACCGGCATAACACCGATAGGTCAAAACCCCAACTTTATATCAATTTTGTTGTGGAAACAGTATGAATTTCAACAATTCCCCTCGCATTGCAGCATCCCATCATTAAACTGTCTACGTCACAAATTTCTAGCACCAGCAAGTAGTATATTTGTGTGTTATTTGTACAAAATAAAATGTATGAAAATACAATTAGCATTTCTGTTTACTTTTCATGCTTATATACCTTCTTTATACTCCCTAATTTGCCGGTGCATTGGATGCAACCAAACGCTCGACACAAACACAACCGCCATTAATTTGAAACTCTTGCGTGGCGCCCAGACGCAGCTAGCCGACATAGCGAACATCTGCGGTAAACGAGGCATTGGCAAAATTATTGTGGCAGCCATGGAAATTCCTTGTAAACTTAAGCGGGAGTTTCTCATATAATCTTCTTTCTGCTTTTTTCTCCTTCGTTTTCTTTCCGATGCACTGAATTGAACTGGTCTGCCCACCATTGTTTATCGTTTAGTTAATCTAGCCTCTGATCTATCCTGAAGGGGATGTCACAAACATTTTTGTTGGCAGAAATTAAAAAAACACAAATAGCATTTCGCAGTTTTATTTATAATTTTTTCATGAACATATATTATTTATTTTTCCTATATTCTATATTCTATATTCTATATAGTTAACACAAATCAAAACAGAAACTGTTTGGGCCCCACTTTGTGCACCATACACAAATCACGACGACATCGACCACAGCAACCAGTGCAGCAACCGAGAGACGCCAGTATCTGTACAGTACTGGGTAAATAGTGTTAATAACACTAATTCAAATCGTCAAGATTTTTTGCAAATTTAACCAACGTAAAAACATTTTTATCAGGTGAGAGTTTGAGGATATATTTAGTACGTAAGTACTAACTTTGAATTAAAATTACAAAATAAGGTTTCAACTATAAATTTCAGGAGATTCGTGACGTAGACACTTTAAGCTGGGATTACATTACCAACTTTGTGTTGTCCAATTTTGCAATTCGACAACACCGAGTTGGCGAAAATAGAACATGTTCTAATCTCCCAACTAGTTGCTAGACGCAGTTGCGCTGCAACTTTTGCACTCTTACACTGCTGATTGCCAGGGGCCCGTTGCCAGAAACTTCGTAAAGTTACGATTAATTTTAAGTCTAATGTTAATGTTAAGGTTAATTTAATAGCGTTGCCAGAAACCAACTTAAACTAAACTTACTTAAGTGAAAACTTACGATAACAGGAACTTCACACAAGGCTGGCTGATTGATGGGAATCGATCACAAAATTCAAATTCATACACATTTATTGTACATCACCGTAATTTATGCATATTATGATGGCTAAACCACATATAAAATAATATTTGATGAAAAACGACACGGTCTTGAATTTATTCTGCACCAAGGTTCTGCAACAACAAGACAAATTCTCACACTGTAGCAATTCTCACGAGACGCGAGAGTCGTGTGGTCAGTGCAAAAGTATTTAAAACAAGAGAACAAATGCATACGGCATTTGTAAATGTTTTGACACTTTGTGTGGCTTCACGATCGTAGATAATTGTTTTTGACGTGTTTTTCAAGAAAAAAACATGATATTACTCATTAATATAAAATATAATATCACTATAATTGTAATTCTTAGTCTAAATGTGTTATTTTCATCTTAATATTAAAGTTAAGGGAGGGTCTAGGATCTCTTAAAGTTAAGAGAAAAGTACGAGAATTTTTAATTCTCTTAACTTTACGAAGTTTCTGGCAACGCTTTAAGAGAAACACTTAAGTTTAAGGTTAATGTTAAGACTAATTTTTTTCTGGCAACGGGCCCCAGTTGTATAGTTGGGAAGTTGGTCCAATTCGCCAATTCGCCAACAGAAAGTCGGTAGTGTAAACCCAGCTTAACACCGACTGGTCAAACCCCCACTCTCCATAAATTTCGTTGCGGAAACAGTACGAATTTCAACGATCAACCTCGCATTGCAGCATCCCAAGCCATAATAAAAATATTGTTTGTTTGCCATCGCCCGACCGACCCGCCAAAAAGAGGCCGACTCAACAAATTTGATTGATCTTTCCCTTTCTTCTTTTTTTTACAAATTGTATCACTGTACAATACATTATATAAATCTGCAGGCAATACATTATATCAAGAGCTAATAAATACCTAAGTATTTATTAGCTCTTGATTATATGTACCAAGCAAAACAAACATTCAACATAAAAGGTATCTCCACACAAGCACACCCGAGCATGTAGACACCAGGGGTAGAAATTAACTTTTGAACACGGGAGTCCAACGAACCCCTGCCCTCAAAAAGAGGGAGTCCGCAGCAAAATGAGGGAGTCTGCAGTCTGAAGTTCAAAATTAAAGATATTAACAATAACGCATACGTGCTTATTTTTAAGATTCATGCGGTTGCACGTCTGCCAATTTTTCTTTGGACTTTTACTGAAAAAATACGGTAATTCTGTGAGGCGTTGCTCTGGAACGAACTAGTTAGAATGGCAGAATTTTCAGGGAGTCACACGAACCAAATGTGGCCCCTCAGTAGTGATGGGAATCGGCTGGAATTTCATAATCGATTATCGGTTTCCCTTAACCAATCGATAATCGTTTATAATCGGATAATCGGTTAATACAGTATTTAATCAATTTAAAAAGAAATGGTTTATATGCCTTTATTAAAACATTAAAAGTTACATGATTAAACAAACATGATCAAGACTTGTTCTTTATTATAGTAAGTAAGTTGTTTGTGTTCTGTAAGTTGTTGTAAGTAGGCTGTGTAGCCGAGTTAATGTCCTGCCAATGGAATATCCCCTCCAACACAATGTAACAAACAATACGGAGACTCTCGTAGCATTAACATTAGTCGTAAGTGTTATCGTAGCATTAACATTAGCATTAACTTTACGATGTTTCTGACAACGGGCCCATGCAGGACTTGTGCTCTACTTGTCATATCAATTCACACATCGTGAGTACAGTTCCTTGTTTGTTTGTTTTGGTATTTCCGATAATCGATTATTTGTTTTCATAATCGATTATCGAATTTGAGACTATAATCGATCGATTTTCGATTATAATCGATCATCGGGACATCACTACACCGCAGCCTCGCTCGTCAGCAACGTCCTGTGTGTACGTACCTTCGGATACTTTTTCACGGGTATTCGCACCATGACGCGCACTTTGATGGGCTTCTCATCTTCCAGGTCAATGAAATCCTTCATCTGCTGCTGCTCCGGCTGCGCCGCGTCCCCTGGCCGCGCCAGCTTGCCGATCTTCGCATTTTTGATTTCTGAACACCAAGAGAGAGAACACACGCCATCAGCAACCCTGCTGCGCGAGGGAGGAGCTCATACATTCCTTGTACTACATAGTATACATTACTATAGAGGTTCGACTCTATCGGAATCAGGCGACTGCACTTCCTAGGTCTCCTCATTAACTAGAGTAGTACAGAAGGGGGAGGGTTAGACTATCTTTAAACACACGCTTGGAGGACGTCCCTCACGATAGAAACACCTAACAAGGGGACGAGTTGGGGGTAACTAAGCAGAAAGGGAGGGGGGTGAAAAGAGTGGGGAGTGTGGGAATCGACACGAGGATACACGACAGTCAGCCGTGTAACTACATGACACACGGCTAAGCATTCGTGATATATACATGTGTGAACAGCGCGTTCGAACTCTAGACACACGGGCACTACGCAGTGCACCGCATCTGGCATCGACACACCGACAATGTCGAGTTCACAGAGAAGAGTGTCGTCACCCGATTCCTCGTGATCCAGTGCGTCTGCCGTCACGTTACATCCCACCGTCGCGCCGGCGTCACCCGGCACCACGTCCATCGGTACGGGGACGATTCTCGTGACGCCGATCCCTGCGCACACACCGGCCTGCTCCGTGTCCATTGCTCCACCGCCTCCCGCCGTTACGCGGAGATCGCACTCTGTGGTCGCTGAGTCAAAGACGACGCTAACGCTGGCCTGCACCGCGGGGCACGCGCAGCATCCGACGATCGCGCACGGTGAACACAGACTGTGGGGATGCGCCAGCCGGAGCGCGCAGCATCCACTGCGGTAACGCGAGCGGTGTTACGGCGTCGAGCGTCCCGTTTGCGGCAAAACCCCCATCTGCCATGTATCGCATCCCTGTCGCCGTGCAACACAAAAACACGCCACTGCCCCGCCGGAGACTCCGATAACTACCCTTCCATCTGAGGTTTACAATTCCAACAATAACCACGGGAGAAGATATGCCCTGAATTTTACTTATCTTTGACGTAGAAAATTACCTCCTAAAATTGACGTATATTTGACGTTGCAGGATCAGAAATGACCTTTTTTTACCAGGCAGCAACTACTTGTTGCCAGAGAAAAAGGCGGGCCAAAAATTAACTCACCCAGGCAGAATCTTTGACGTTTTTACTATAGTTTACTAGGAATTTCTTGGCAGCAAGTATTTTCTGTGGATATTGAGAGCAGGCAACAAACTGACCCTAGGGCCATAACAAAATATAGGTGTGGTTACGGTTTCCCGACCGACCCTATTTATTCCCAGCAACCCTAAACATTTTATTGTCAATTTTCTTTAAAAATTAAAGTCAAAATTTTTTTTTTTAAATATATGAATTGGACAGTTCCTGCTTCAAAAGGCACAACGCACATCCTTCGGTTTGGTTCGTAAATAAAATATTTCAAGGAAATAAAATGTTTTCCCTACCTACCTACCCTATTTTTTTCCGGCATGTAACGGTAACCACACATATATTTTGTTTTGGCCTAGTAGGCAGCAGGGAAAAAATTAAAATTAATTTTTCGAGGGCTACTTTTCAAGCTCGCATGCATGAAAATAGCACTCTAAAATTTGGTTTGCATTGAACTCTATGCAAATTTACGGGGGCTCTTTTTGGCATTTCGGGGGCTAAATCGCCCCGAGCCCCCGTGTATTTTTTTCACTGGTAGGCAGTAAACCTGAGCTGCTTGCCACCTTAAATTTCGAAGCCTGCATTAAAAATATGTCTCAAATTTGACACATAAGGTTGAAAGTACGTCTCAATGTTGACGTATATTTGAAGGTGAAACTACACCTCAATATTGATGTATTTTTGACATTGCAAATAGTGTCAGTATTGACATCCCATTAAAAAGACTCAAAAAATTGCTAAACGTCTCTTCTCTCTGAACTATACTCTAAGTCTTTAAGCCATGGATCTAGGCTCTGACTAGACTCTAAGCCCTGGATCTAGGCTCTGAACTGCTCTCACTTCGAATCTCAATTTCCTTTGCGCACAGACTCACACCTGTATATATATACAGAATACATACATTTTCTACTAGGAAGTTAACACACTTCGTCTAATTGCATTCAAGGCATAATGCATTCACGACATGACCATTAAATTAGCAAGGAGCATTAACACCCTTCCACTTCGCCCACCTGCCCGGCAAAAAACGGAGACTGTCTGTATTAAAGAACGCTCATACTGGATGCGGGACCCGCCCCTATAATAATAATAACATATAGAGCTTCAAAGACAAAAAAAATCGAAGCAAAAAAAGCACCAGAATCTTACCCCTGTCTGCACGTGCGAGTGCTTTTATTCTTGTTTTTGCGACTTTGCGCCCCAATGAATGTTTTGGCTTCCAAGGAATAGTACGAAGCATAAAACAGATGGTGCGCGGTAAAAAAATCCATCACGCGCGATGTAACAACTGCAGATGGTTTAGTCAAGCAATTGGAAGCAGATGAGAACAGCGAATGATCCCACGCGATTAACTGCTAAGCCTTCCTTCCGATCAACGTGGTTGTAGCAACTTATTAAAATTCTTCACAAGAATACGTTTCATCAATTCATAAAGGTGATTTTTCTCAGTTTGAGACGAAAAATTGAGAGAAAAAATGTATCCAGAGAGAACCAAATAACTTCTCATAAATGCCTAAAATTATACCTCACCTTCAAAGGCCATAAAAAAACTAATAATGTATACTTGTAAGGGCCAAAGCAGCTTGTGTCCCTCCTGCTTGCTGCAGCTACGAAACTCACGTCGCGACGTGACATGGCATTCGCACAGGTCTCATACTCATAGATACCTCAACTAGCCACCAACACTCACACGGATGGTCACAGTTGTAGAGACTGCACATTTCCGCTTCAAAATTTGCTAAATTCCATTTAGATTACTAAATTCCACTTCAATTCCATTTCAGCAAATTTTTACATTTTAATTCAGAAATAATGCACATTTCCGCAATTTCCGCAAAAAAAATTTTTTGGATCTGTAATTTTTTTTGGAGAGTTAAAGTGATGAATGTAAGATAAGTTTTCATAATCATTTTGTGTGTGTTGGGAGTGATTTGAGCTGTTTAAAGGTTATTTTTGTGTTTTGGGAGGTTATTTTTTGTGAAACTGGTGATTCCGTTTCAGAGCCTGAGGGGGTGATTCCGTGATTTCCGTCCATTTTCCGTTTTCCTGGAAATGTGCAGTCTCTACAGTTGGGTGTAAACAGATCGCAAACAAGTCAGCGTAACGGGATCAGCAGCAAAGTTTTTGAGCGCATCCTATACGCAAGCTTCGTTTTTATTGCAGTGAAATCTGATCAATAGAAGAACTAAAACATGTGCAACTCTGTTTAAATGTGGCTTTGTGGTTAAAGTTTCTAACCACAAAAAAATGCAATTATATTTTAGAACACTTCAGCAAGTCATAACTGAGAATGAAATACCACTCAAAATCAAGTGATAATCAGAATTTATTTAGCTGAGCTGGATCCAAGGTAGCAAAAATGTAGCGAAAGAGCGAATATGCTTCGCTCTTATACTCTTCTTGAAACTTGAAACTTGAGCCTCCAAGGGCCTGTGTTAACACACAGCATTTTACATGATGAAGCGTACAGGCTGCACAATTGATCAAATATATGTTTCCTTTCACGACACATGCAATTTTCAAACTACTACTTCAGTTTCCATCCTTTCATTGTCTCTATGCATATATAGATACGGGTACGATGCTAGCTACAATATCACGTAAACTGGAGACATTTTTCGCAAATTATATTTTCTGGCTTTTCATCAGGAATTTCACTTTAATATATATATATATATATGCATATATATGCACTACTGCATCTGCCCTATCTAATTCAGCACTTCTATCATGCGGTCACAATCTATATTTACACATGTACCGAGCTGTGTCACGCGAAATTACACAAAGCCTGACGAAATTCTCGCGTTTTATTTTTATTCGGGGGCTACTTTTCAAGCTTGCGTGCATTAAAATAGCACTCTAAAATTTGGTTTGCATTGAACTCTATGCAAATTTACGGGGGGTCTTTTTGGCATTTCGGGGGCTAAATCACACCGAGCCCCCGAGTATTTTTTCCACTGCGTGTGTTGCAGATGAGCATTTGGACGGCATTTACAGGAAATTGTCGGCAATAATAGGTGAAAGAGAGTAGAGAAACATTAAGACTTTGGTAGTAAATAGATTTCGTATTTATTTAGCATTCTATGTTTGCGCACACAAGTATATTATCAAGAGCTAATAATACCTATGGTACCTATTATAATCAGATAATCCTGGTAACTAACAATACAGTGTGTATTGTTGAACAGTGAACACCTTCTAACAATACACTG